AAGGAAGGAAGGAAGGAAGGAAGGAAGGAAGGAAGGAAGGGAGGAAGAAAGGAAGGAAGGGAGGAAGGAAAGAAAGGAGGAAAGAAAGGAAGGACATTAATTGTTTTCCAGTGGTTGGGGGGAAATAAAAAGCTTTGTAAGTCTGAAGCTTTGCATACTAATATCTAAAACTAATGGCTGTAATGAACAGTTAATAGCCTGGCTATTCCTGAGAATATCCTGGAGACTGAACACATAAAGAGGCTAATCCACTCAGGAAGTCAGGCCTCCGGGAAATGGGCCTGGCCTTGCATAGCTTTAAAAGCTCCAAGTGATTACAGCATGCGTCCAGGGTGGAACCACTCTTCTCAAGAAACCACGAGCCTGATCCTCATATTGATTCAAGTGACTTTTCCCTTGACCCTGACTCCAAATTTTTTATTTTGAATGGAACTAGCAGAATTGAATCAGTTCACTGTAAACAACTGGAGATCATTGACATTATTTGGAACTTGGGTCACAGTGAAAGAGGAGTTAATTCAGTAACAGCTGGGACCTAATTGAAAATCAAGTTAAACAGAACATCAGGCTTAGGAGACCTGGCGTATAATTGGCAAGGTCACTTACTAGCCGGGTAATGAGCATACCACGTAACCACACGGAAGTTTCTTTGTCTATAAAATGAAGGCACTGGTCTAGAAATCTTTAAGATGCTCTAAATTCTGGCACAGTTTCAGGACAGAACTTGCAAATGAAAAATTTAAAGTTGTACCCTGCTCTATTTTGAAAGGCTGTGAATTTAGCCATAGGAGCGTCAACAAGGCCAAAAATATGATTAAAATGTTCTAGTTGCCATTCAAATTTAATTTATAATACCTATTCCTGATTAGAAGCGCATCACACTTAAAGGAGAACTAGGTTTAATCGCATCTGCATAGCCAGTGTCCCTCAGTCCCCTGCCCTGTGTCAAGGCTGCAGCACGTGTTCGAAGTGGGTCCCTGGGCCCAGAAAGGAGCCTGGGATATCAGCAAAATCAAGCCAGACGGTAGAGCTCTGCCACTGCCCTGCTAACCACGATGCCTTGTTTCCTCATTTGTAGAACATCAATAAGACATTTTAAGTTCACATTTGAAACTGGAAAGACCTTTGAAACATTATTTTTTTTACTGTATTTTAAGCACTTTAGTCAATATTGACCATGCAATGTGAATTCATGAAAGCAAAAGTTAAGAGACTTACTTACCAGGAATCCTATTGAGGGTCACCCAGAAATGTTCATCAGGACTGTAGGTGTCCTTGGACCAGGACAGTAGGTCAAGTGCATGCTGGTCCTGGAGGACGAAGTTAGCGAATTCCCTTGTGAGGGCCACATAGGCAGTGCCAAAGTAAATGGTTATGTTGTGAGGAGGGGAAGTTTTCAATTTTTCTGTTTTATGCACATAGGAATTTTTTGTGTCTAATATTTCTTGGTGGATGTATTTAGTCCGTCCAATAGCATGATCGGGGGGCAGCACCCCCGGGGTAATGTTTTTCCCTTTGAAGCCTTTCAGATACTGAACAATTTCCTTGTTGGTTTTCAAGGGGAAGTCTTGCCCACAGGTGTTGATGGCGTACTTCCACGGGACCTCGGAGGCCACCAGGTCTCTCAGGCAGTTCAGGTCCGCCTGGAGCCTGGAGATCCCACCATAGACAACCGGCTCCATCTTGGAAGCCAGAAAGGCATTCGGGAAGCAGCTCAGCAATCGCTCCACCGCATCTTTAAACTCAGCTGCTGCCTTTTCGTCCACATGGACGCAGTAGACATTTTGGGGCATGTAAATAGCTCTGAAGAGCCTCTCGAAAGTTCCAAATTCTTTGTGGATGGTCATTGAGTAAGCCAAAGGGAACCCAGCCTCTTCTTCAGAGAGCGTTTCTGTTATATAGTGACTCTGAACCATGTATTCATAACAGGCAGATCCACTGAGGGTAGTTTTCAACGCATTCTCTGTTAAGTAAAAAACCTTCCCCTTAAGAATCTGATGACAGGTTTCTGCTAAGAGCGAAGCATTGGTAAGAGACGTCCTCAGAAGACGTTTCTTCTCCAAAAGCTTGTTATTGTAAACAAATACGAAAATCAGGGCCGTGACGAGAGACACACTAAAAAGACAGTGCTTCCAAGAGCCCATTATTCAAAACCAGGAAATGAGTAAAATGTCTCTTGAGATCTGACGAGAGTGGAGATAAATATTTAACTTACATTTTCTCCAGAATCCATTGTCATCCTTTCGGTACATGCCGTTCTGATGGGCTGTTTCATGCCCTTCCAGCGGACCGTTCTCGTACTTTTTCTTTCTTCCATTTACAGCTGTGTTGCATTTCCACCTTTCTTTGATGCATTTCTGAAGTAATTCCTTTGGATTTGCTTTGCTCAGTCTCCCACTAATCAGCAACCTGTTCCTACACAAAAATAAGTTACCTCAGGAAGGTTGTGATTCCAGTGTGCCCACCTGTCCCCATAGTAAAATCACTAAAGGGCGAGGGGCCACCCTGCTAGTCATTGCCACAAGACTCAAACCCGGCCTCTTCTTGTGGCCAAAGGTTGTCAACTGTGTCAGCTCCCCAGCTTCCTGTTAATCATTGCGCTCAACTGACTGAGCTTGTTTGCTTAAAAGGCACTGCCAAGTTAAAAGCGTCAGTTCTAAGCATGTGAACACCGCCTGGAGAGATATTCTGTCAATAAATATTTAGTGCTTAAAAATAAAATATTTAACTCTGTCTTTTTCCACACGCACCCCCCATCTCCATATTGGCTGGGCACACTATAAAGCAAGGCATATGACTGACTATTGAGTCAAATCCTTTCCAGGACTTAATTTTCTCTGCTGTTAGATAAGGTCTTTTACAACACACATTAGCAACCTTACCTCACCACCTAATTTACTCCACAAAGTGACTGGGGTACTCTGAATAAAAGCTTTTTTTTTTTTTTAAAGCCAAAAAAAAAATAAAATAAAGAGCTCGTCATCATCCAAAACTTATGTAGAGGCTAAAGCTGGACGTCAAGTTTATTTCACCCAAGCCCAGAGGGGATACAGGAGAAGCAGCCTGATGCCTGCAGAGGTAGGAGACAGGAGCTATCTCAGTTTGGGACCATCCAAAATTGAAGAAGAGAAGGTCCTTAGATTCAGATTTATAAACCCTTTCAAAGGAGTTTCCTTAGCTGAAAAACAATGAGACTGTGTAATTTTACCCCCTTCATAGGTCAGTTGTGAGAATAAAAATGAGATCGCATATAGAAAGAGCTCATAGCCATGCCCAGCAATAAATGGATCAACCAGAGAAGAGGAAACAAGAGACTCTCTTCAACCACAAGTCGAGAAAATGACACAATCAGCACCTCTCAGAATTCTTTTCGCTCCTCCCTTGCTTCTTCCTCCGTGAGCCCATGCCAATGAGATCATACCTAGAATAGCATTGACTAGTTCCGTTTTACTTGGTAGTTAGGCTGCACACTGTGCATGCCTAAAGAAAGGGCGCATTAGCTCTGAGCTCACTATTCCTCCTCCGTTTCTTGCTCCCACAATTGACTTCTCATACTAGACAATCAAATATTTATTGATCAAGCGCTCAAGTTTTCATTTCCCTGTTTCCCTGAGCACATTAGTGTGAGATTCCAAGTACTAACAATTTACAGCCTACATTTATATCTGTGAGTATAGGTGCATTCAACTACCTATTTTCCCCAATATATCTTAATTATAAAGACAACATAATATTCAGAGAGTTTATAAACACAGTGTTTTCATGGCCTGTACTCTCATTTACCTCCTGCCCAGACACATACATATTTTTATTTTACCAAGAAGTCAGGGGACATGCAAGTTTGCATCACACATTTTGCAATTCATATCATAGCACAACTTTTCCATGTTACTCAGTCTTCATTGGGCATTGTCTTCACAATCATTACTTTAGAAAATAAAGCTGAAGTTATTATTTGTTGTTTTAGCCCACCCCATTAAAAAGATGGTTGCCAACTATGTTTTGTAAGCATCAGTGTTAGATAAAACAAGGGTCTCAAGGTCTGGGCATCTCTAAATGTTCTTCCTTGCTACATGTTAAAACATAGCACAGTATTTTGCACCTGACAGGAACTCAACAAATAATAGTAGCTAACTGTATGGGGGGATAAGGACACATATGTAATACCTTAATCAATAAAGGAAAAAAATGTTTAAAAAAGTGACTACTCGAAAATGTAAAAAAAAAAAAAGAATGTGCATAAAGCTGGTCTAATAGCTTTACCTATAAAAATATATTCTAAAGAAATAAAAAGACAAATTAAAAAAAAAAAGTAGCCAAACTGCAAAGAAGAAATCAACATGTAATTGACCAAATAGTGTGTATAAGCAATGGCTAAGTCTTCCTTTGAGGAGGCAGAGCTTTGGATATGAATCCCATCTCCTTTACTTGCTATAAGTAAATAAAACTATCTTGTGATAGCCATCTCTTGTTTTTTAATAGAACACCCTAAACCAGTGACGGTGAATCTTTTGAGCTCGGCGTGTCAGCATTTTGAAAAACCCTAACTTAACTCTGGTGCCGTGTCACATATAGAAATTTTTTGATATTTGCAACCATAGTAAAACACTTATATTTTTGATATTATTTTATATATTTAAATGCCCTTTAACAAAGAAAAATCAACCAAAAAAATGAGTTCGCATGTCACCTCTAACATGCATGTCATAAGTTCGTCATCACTGCCCTAAACCTTAAACCGCTTGAGTTTAGTAACATCAGGAGCAGAGGAAATGATGATAAGAAAGGACCCAGGGGAGTCCTCCCAAACTAGGTGAGTCAGTCTTCAGTTGTTTTAGGAAATATAATCCACATCCTGATTCAGGTACATAGTCTTGTCTATATGACCCAAAGTGTAATTCAATCAACCCAAACACTTTATTTACATTGCTCTCTTTTATTTATCAATGTATAATTCTTTTGAACAAATTATTTCTTCAATACTGCAGTCATATAAGGACAATCTTTTCAGAAATGATGACTATTAAAATACTAATTTGAAAAGATATATGCAGCTTAAGTGTCCATTAATAGACAACTGGTTAAAAAAGAAGTGGTACATATATACAATGGACTATTACTCAGCCATAAAAAGAAAGAAATCTTACCATTTTCAACAACATGGAGGGACCTAGAGGGTATCCTGCTAAGTGAAATAAGTTGACAGAGAAAGACAAGTACCATGTGATTTCAATTATATGTGGAATCTAAAAACAAACAAACAAACCCAAAATAAAGAAACAAACAAAACAGATAACTTCATAGATATATAGAAAAAAAATGATAGTTGCCAGATTGGGGGTGGGGAAGGGGTTGGGGAAATTGGCTGAAAAAGGTGAGGGGATTAACAAATTGGCAGTTACAAAATAGTCATGGGGATGTAGGGAATATAGTCAATAATATTATAATAACTATATACGGTGCCTCATGGGGACTGGACTTTTCAAGGGGATTACCTCATAAGTTATATAAATGTCAAACTACTGTGTTGTACACCTGAAACTAACATAGTATGGAATGTCAATGGTAATTGAAAAGTTTTTTAGTTTTTAAAAAAGAAATGATTACTAAAATTTCTCTAATTTTTATTTTATTTTTAATATCCCTTGAGGTAGTCACTGCCCATGTCAAGTGAAATTTACTACGGATGATTAAATAAAGGTGTCAATACCTAAGTATATTGTCTACATTGGTCAAATGATTTTTATAGCTCTTGTCTCTTAACATAGCCACAATTTTCAGCAGCTCTTTCTTTCTTTTTGCTATTGCCTCATTCTTGGCACAATTCTGTTAGAATAAGTGGATAGAAAGATCTGAGCTGGAAGAGACTGTGAGAGGTAGCTGGGGCTCAGAGGAAATGGAGTGAGATGTGACAAACTGAAAATAGACCATGGAGGTGGTAGGCCCCTATGTGAACAGGAAAGATTCAGAGCTCTCCAGGATGTGGTCTAACTGGTGGCCTAGCACCTAGATGAAGAAGCATTATATGCATTTTTTTGAGACATGAGGGAGGGAGTGACTAGCTCCTTACCTAGGGGTGTTCCAGCCTAGAGGTATAAATCCTCTAAACTCCCAAATATCAGGGCACTGGGTTCAGCCTCAGCCAGCTTAGCTGCCTGCTCAGGTCCTATCTGACTGTATTACTTTCCTACAAATAAATCTTTGCCTGCTTTTGCTGCCATTTCTAGTCTCCTGTTTGAATTCATTCTTACAAGCAAGATAAGAACTGGGTGTGCAGTTATCTGGGTTACCTCCGGCCAGAGACCTCCTTGTCCACCACTTACAGTTTCATCCCTTCACACATTTCATGCATAAAAACATCTATCTATACTAATAAAAGGGTAGTATGCTAATTAGACCAGACATCTTCTGGACATCCTTCCAGACATCCTTCTGGAAAAAGCCACAGTGGCAGGGGTCGAGGCAGAGGCAGTTAGGGGCAACCAGGCTGGCAGGGGAGAGCAGTTGGGGGTGACCAGGCTGGCAGGGGAGGGCAGTTAGGGGTGACCAGGAAGGCAGATATGTGAGCAGTCAGGAGCCAGCAGTCCCAGATTATGAGAGGAATCCCAGAATGGAGAGGATGCAGACTGGGCTGAGGGACCCCCTGCTCCCATGCATGAATTTCATGCACCGGGCCTCTAGTGTGTGTATATATATATAAAAGGCTAATATGCTAAGTATCCGACCATCTGGGTAGTGACATCACGTAGCAACACCCGGCTTCCTCTCCCTAGTGACTAACCTCCTAGCAGTTTCTTCAGCCTAGGAACACGACTTGCTTTATAGCCAGGTGGAAACATTTACACTTTAACCAAATGTCTGTGAAGCATGTTCATGTGCTTCATCTCATTTGTTCCTCTCAGAAGTCCTGGAGTAGGTAGATAGGAGACTTGGTGGAATCCCATTTTCTTTTCATTAGCTGGAAAATGGAGATTTAGGAAGCTTAGAAAATTGACCCAACTGAAAAGAAGTAAGAAATGGTGGACCTTGAAAATGACTCCAGGTTTTCTCACTGTGCAGAATATCGTCAAACACTGCTGCAGTTAAATATTTTACCCTTTGTTCTCCCTGCGTGATCTACAATAATAATCTGCTTCATGTTGATATGTACTGCTGTGTTGCTGACAATTACCTGAAAGAAAGTTGGGGTGCTTCACTGGGCTGGAAAAAGTCTAGCTAAATCAGAAAGCAGGTCTAATTAAGCAAGTTTATTCTATGTCTATAAAAGGCTAAGTTGACTCGTGCATACACAATACATATAAAGCTCTCGCTGGTGCCAATCACATGCATGTGTTTTGATCTGTCATGGTCAATCGTGAATATAGTTGACACCTCTATTATAGAAAAAGGGCAAATAGTGATATTAAAATATTTCTTCTAATTAATTTCCTTTCAGTGTGCATGAATTCGTGCATCAGGCCACTAGCCTCTAATAATTTGCCTGCTCTTGAATTTACAGGTCTCTGAATTTAGTTACAGGGTGAAGAACATTTGAAATACAATGTTCCAGTACTTTGCTACAGTGGAGTTAACTGTACCTCATCTGAAATTCCATGAGAGTCCTTTGATTTTGAATTCTAGAAACATTCACAATTATTCAAAATTGTATCTTTGACAATGTTAGACATTTATAAAAGAACTAGAGGCCCGGTGCACAAAAATTTGTGCACTCGGGGTGGGGAGAAGGTCCCTCAGCCCGGCCTGTGCCCTCTCACAGTCTGGGACCGCTTGGGAGATAACGACCTGCTGGCTTAGGCCCGCTCCTGGGTGGCAGAGGGCAGGCCCAATCCCTAGGTGCAGCCCCTGGTCGGGCTCAGATCAGGGCCGATTGGGGAGTTGGGACGCCACCCCCTGTCATGCACAGAGCAGGGCGGATCAGGAG